ATAATATAGCTTTAATAAAAAAATATATTAATATATAATACCAATGAAATAGCAGTTCATAAAAATAATCAATTAATTTCCAAATATTGAATGCTAAGGCCCCATTCACACACAAATCGGCCTGCACGTACATCTCCGTGCTGCGTGCGGGGCCGTACCAAGTAGCTGCCGGGAAGGACAGGTGCTGGGTGTGATTAGTACGCTGCCCCAGTCCTTCTCTATGGGGCTACGCGGCCGTACGCCCCCCTACGCTCACCTCAATTGCAGGTCCGTAGGGGTGCGGGTTTTCTGGCTGGGACGCATACAGGAATATATTCCGGTGGCGTATGAATACGATCACCCGCACCCTGCAATTGAGGTGAGCGTAGGGGGGCGTACGGCCGCATAGCCCCATAGAGAAGGACGGGGGCTGCGTACTAATCACATGCAGCCCCTGTCCTTCCCAGCAGCTACTTGGTACGGCCCCGCACGCAGCACGGAGCTGTACGTGCAGGCCGATTCCAGTGTGAATGGGGCCTAAAAATAACTGGCACTTTAAAAAAAAAAAATTAAGACCCTTACCCTGGTGTGATTGCACCGTGAATGGAGCATGTTTTTGAATGACGCATAAGTGGAGTAAAATGTGATTTGTAAAGTGGCAGGAGTGAAGGTTAAAACTGGTGCGGCCATAAAGCCTGCAGGGTTTAGCCAACGTTTAAAGGAAACCTGTCACAAAGGAACAATGGAGGCTACCATAGTTGGCCTCTCCTGCTGAAATTCTATTTGCCTGGATATCAGGCTGTCTTTAATATTTAAAGGCACTGACCTGTAACAAGTTTGCAGATGATGTCTCCTGATCTGCATACTTTTTCTGCATCAGTGGAATAATAGGTATGGAAGCCAGGGGCTCAGCAACCTGGCAATTAGCATTTTCAGCAAGTCTCTCATGCATTAGTGTCGTCCTACAGGATTTCTCTGATACACTGTGCCCAAGGAGAAACTGTTAGTTGGCAGAACTCTTTTTTTTTTTTAACAGGCTATTTGGTATACCTTTTTTGTATATTGGCTGTGTGAGACTACAGGAAATGCTGTTTAAAGAATGACTAGCATGTGTTTTAAGAGACATCTTGCAAAATAAAAAGTAAAGTGTAAAACGTTTGAATTAGATCTGTAGTCTATTACAGCGTTTCCCGACCTTTTTCACGGTCACGGCACCCTTTTAAAAGCATGCAGAATCGCAAGTCATCCCAGTATGAAATGTAAAAAAAGTGGGACCCCTCCTAAATCCATACCAGACTCTTAGCCCAGATAGGAGACTGATATAGATCTCAATGGGAAACCCCATGCAAAAGCACAAAAAAGTGGGGCCCATTCTTTCACATCAGGAGCCGCCCCCCCCCCCTCCCTTAACAACAAGGTCCTACTATCACATCAGGAGCCGCAGACCCCCCCTTAAAATCAGGGTCTTACTATGACATCAAGAGCCGCAGCCCGCCCCCCCTCTTTACCATCTGGGTCCTACTATCACATCAGGAGCCACAGCTGCTGTTGCATGGGAGAGTGCTTGATGCAGAGCAAGCCTGGACGGAGGCAAACTTCTGTCATTTTGTGAATGGATTCCACCAATCCTGGATTAGCTTCATTAATTTCCATTGTGCTTGTGGCCTGCCTGTACCATCTAAAGACATGACGTTGTGCAAAATATTCAAGTCAACCCAGAGGAAGTCAGGAGGCACCCCAGGGTTGAGAAAGGCTGGTTTGTTATGCTGACTGGTAAATGCAACACAGGGAGAGAGCTCAGTATGTTGTCAGCAAACTGGATTTCAGGCAGGATCAATAGGTATTTCGTGCACTTATGGAACAAAACACTTCCAATGGTACATTTAACATACCAAAAAGAGCAAATTAGAGACTTTTATTGTTGGTGTTAACATACACTTACATTTTGCTTATTGTGGTGCTACTTAAATGAAGAATAGGTCTGTTTGTTGTCTGTTAGTATCCCCAAGATATAGAGCGCTGCTTTTTTCCCATGATGTGTACCGCTATAAACTAATATGTTTGTGTTGTCTTTTTTTTTCTCTCCATTTCTAGGCTCTTCAAGTTGCACGGCAGCTATTAATACACCAGCAGCAAGTCAGTGGAGTAAAAAGCCACAAGAGGAATGACAAGCAACCACCCCTGCAGGTAGGAAACTACTTTCCTTTGATGCTGGTTTGGAAAATGAAAGAAGTTCAGATGTGTGCGAGCGAAGCGGTTGCCAAGACCAGCTGTCGGTCACTGTTATGTCCAGCAGAAATGATAGACTAAGCTTTGTTCACTCTGATCTTCAAGAATTGGCTACATGTAAAGTCTTATGCTTGCATGTTGAAAAACAGCTTGACTGATGCTAGGTATTACTTGTCAGGTTTTCTTATTGTGCACAAGCTCTTGAAGTATTTTCTGCTTGCTTCCGTGTTGCACATGGGATAGTGCGGTCATTCTGCACTGCATTCCGTAAAGCTGAACTCTAAGCAGCCACATACACATATATAATACATATACAGGGGTTAGGGTTATGCTGGACTTTGAATATTTACTCTTCAGTAAAGAAATCTGCAGAATTGCTTATATTACATAAAATGTTTATTTCTGCTTTATTTTAGCTATATGTGTTTGATCTTAACCCCTTAAGTGGAGTCTCAGCTGGTCAGAGGCCACTTCAAGTCTTGTTGCCTGTTTGCTGAAAGAGTTCACACAACCAGACAACACACCCTTTCCCAATGTGTGAAATCTTTCAGCAAACTGCCCCCTGTTTCATGTTAGGAGATGAACAGGAGGCAACTATCCTGTGTTCATGATCCATGCCAAAGTTACGCCCCCTCATGACAGACCATAGATGGGGCTATGATTCTGGCGTCACTGAACAACATAAATACCATGTAAGTTATGGTAAAGCTGTGTATGGAGTGGAATCAGGTACAATGTGGGCTCAAGGCTCATATGACTGTATATGACCATGGAGAGTATACTAACGTATAATATTGTGGGCATGAGTGACGTGGAGAGGCTGGTGTGACTTGTGGTCCTGGTGGTGGTGAAGGATGCTGATTTGTAAAGGTAGATAGAGGGTGGTAAGAAGTGGGCTCAAGCAAAGATGGAGGTTTCTGCAACATAGATAGATGGATAGATAGATAGATAGAAGGAAAGTTAGAGAAATAGATCTTAAAATAATGCATTCGGCTTCTTTCTGTGCCTCTGTGGCCGGCACCTTTTTAACCCACAATAAACACCAAATATTTTAAGATCCCACAACAATCTGCTGCCCCAAACTGATAAATGAAATAGTTGACCTGTCTGTAGTAAGAGGAGTTTATTTGCAGAAGAAACAATATATCACACAGAGAAGGAAGCTGCGAGTGTTTGGAGACAGATTACATATACATCAAATCCCGCTGGCTCAGTCGGAGCCGAGTGCTGCCAAATACACTCTGCGTCTACCAGATAAGCTCACTCAGCGTCACCTACACACAGCCCAATATTGCCCAGGAGGAACGAGCGACCCTTTGTAGCTCAGAAAGTGAAAGATAGGTAGTTGTATCGTCGAGTGTGACATTCAGCCACGCGTTGATGCGCTTGTCCAGATCCCAGGCCCGTGGCCAACGATGTCTAATAGAAATAACTTACTGAATAGTTTATCACTATTGTCTTTCCTGCAGTATGTTTTTTATTCACTACATCAAGGAATGAGAACTAAAAGGCAGGATTTTGTTTTAAAAGAAGAGCAGTTGGCAACACCAAATTCAACTTGTTCATACTTTGTTTGTAACAGGAAAGCGGCTGAATAGGGACAATCTTTGGTTCCAAGGACCTCTCACACTACTGTAGATGTGTTTGTCTGTCCTCTTTAATGCATCATTGTGAGAGCATGGCAGAACAGCAAAAGCTATTGCTACATCATGGGAGTGATGTTTTTCTTGGTTCAGCTATAATATACAGTAAAAACTCGCTGTTATCCTGTATTCAACTAACCAGACAAAAAAAAAATGTCCTCTGTGTACTCACTGTTTTTCTGATCTGCAGCATGTATTATCCTGGAAACGATTGTGGGCCTATTTGTCTTAATTTGCTTTTGATTACTGTATTTCAATATTAATATGAAGTCAATACAGAGTTTATGTTATGGCATGGTATGGGGTATGGCATTATTTAGGCCTATTTTTAATAGTAACGCTCAAGCAACTAGAAACTACATTTATCCGGAATCTACCAATACCCATGGATGCCGGATAATAGGGAGTTTGCTGTACCAAAAAAGACAAATTCAAGTTTTGATATTAAAGACAGTTAAAGGCACAAGTACACCATACAAAGTTTTTTGGATCAGATATGTTTTTGAACCTGTTAAGGGCCCATAGGAAATGAATAGGCAGGCATATGTTCAAACATGCACATAGGTGAGAATGGGCCCTAAAGGTAAATTTCACCTAAAACTGAGATTGATGCATACCGGGAGCCAACCTGTTTGGGGCTTCAGTTTTTCCTCCAACCCTTTCTTTAGTGCACCATTACAAAACTCAGGTTCAAGTAATTGTAATTCTTCTGCTCTTTCCACTGAGCCTGTTAGATGGTCTGTGAAATGTGTCTGCAGTGGATGACAGAGAATTTGTATTGAGGTTAACTGATTAAAGCTTCTGATTGTAGAACAGCTTTATTGTTTCCTATATGGTGTTAGCATGGCACTGACTGCTTTCACCTGCTGCTTGGAATTGCTGTTATAATTAAACCTGTGCACAGACTATGCACATAAACGTATTTCCATATTCTGAACAAGCCGAAAAAGCACTTTAACGCAAGCTCTTATTCACCTCTGTAGTTATAGGCATTGTGGGGAAATTAATTTTCAAATTCCAATACACAGAAATCTGAGTTATTTTTAGAGAGCAGGCCTTGACAGCCTGCCGGTCCTTTAATAATTATTATTATACAGGATTTATATAGCGCCAACAGTTTGTGCAGCGCTTTACAATATAAAGAAAGACATTACAATCACAATACAAATCAAGACGATGGTAAGGAAGGCCCTGCCCCTGAGGGCTTACAATCAAAAAGTTAGGGGGAAGTGATACATGAGAAGGTAGCTGTGTGGGGATGAATTGTTTGAGAACGTGATGATCCTTTAATGTAGATGCACAGCAGGTGTTTCTAAGCTGTTGGGAACCCACTTAAACCCCACATTACAGGATATTCGAGAATTAATTTCTTAACATTACAAGGAGCTAGAGAGGTCAGGAATGGCTTGTTTTAAAAATCATTTACTGATTGTTACAAATATGTTATTTATTTGAGCATAGGTGCACTTCACCATTCACTTGTGTAAAAAAAATTAGCTTTATCTCTAAAATGAAATGTTCATATACCATTACATGGAATCCTCAAGACTCTGCCCACTATTTTTTGACCAATTGGTAAACAGTGATCCATTCATCTTTATTATATGGATCTGAAAATACACATGAAGGTTGGGTTAACTACTCTCTCCTTGTTCCACTTCTACTAAATGGGCGTAGGCATTTTCAGTAATTGTACAGATGGAGGAGGCCCTTGCGGTAACCACTGTTCATTGCGTTTCTGAACACATAAATTGAATAAGCTGAGTTACTTACAGCTAAAATAGACCTCTGCTCAAAAACTATTATTTCATTTTGGGTGGAGGTTGAAGACATGCTGCATGTTTGATTTCAGTGCAGCAGAGTCCAACTTATGCTAGTTCTTCAAAAAAAAGGAAGCTGTTATTCTTGACCCTCTTCTTGATGTCTAGTTGCCTGGCTGCTGTGCTGTTGCGTTGGCTTCTATACCTTTTCATTTACTGACCCGAAATAATTAGAAATTCTGTTTTGTTTTTCCTTTAATTTCTACATGCTTGTTCCGGTAATTTTTGAACCAGATGCAGCCAGAAAACTAGCATTTTCAGAAGTAGACCAACAAAAGCAGTTTTCATATTTCTCCTTTAATGAACACGAAATTATAATACACTATATGGCCAAAGGTTTGCGGACAACAACCATCACACCTCAGGGGTGTGGAAATTTTTTTAAACTACTTGTCCAAGGGCTAAAGCGGGGGTCAAATCTACTTGTCCTTCATGACAATCTACTTGTCCCAACACAAAAAAAGTTTTAAAAGTTTAAAACAAGGGATGCACCAATACCAGTTTTTGGGTATCAAGTACGAGTACCAATATTTTGCTTTCAGCACTCACTGAGTATCGGTGCTTCCGTTGGCATGGAGCAGGCTTCTCGGGCAATCAGGAAGCCGGGCAGCGGGTAATGAGATGCTACCCGGCTTCCTTACTGCCAGGGAAGCCGACTCCATGCTGTTTGGCCGGCTTGATTCTGAATGGCTGGGAAGCCGGTTTCCCGGCCAATCATCATCAAGCCAGCTTGCTAGTCAATCAGGAAACCTGGCGGAGATTAATGACCTGATTGGCCGGGAAGATGTCTTGATGCTGATTGGCGGCCAATCAGCAAGGAGCTGGCTTCCCGGCCAATCAACTGATCACGCTGACCAATAAGTGCTTGCAATTTGCAAGCAAAATTCTAAATGCATAGGGCAGGAATGCGCTGGACAGTACGGGGTAAGGACACCTGTACTGGCGGAGGGTAAGGACTGTTTGCAGAAAGTTAAGTATAGCTTGCAGGTGGGGGGGGGAGTAGAAGAGACTGGGCCAGATTTGATCGGGTAATTCCATTTTCCTGTATTACCTGGGAAAGTGAACTTACCCTTTAATGCACATTGTGTGTGTGAGAGAGTTCTGCTGCCCAGGTACCACAATATGGCACACAGTGAAATGGCAGCAGGATTCAACACACACACAATTTCCTATGCGTGTGTGTATTTGTATGCAGATGGCAGGGGAAGTGGAGTTGGTGTTCATTTTTTTTTTTTAGCTAGAACTAAAAACTAGTTTTGAAGGCCATAATTGTCTAAAATGACTTTGTAGGCTTTAGCAATAACAGTACCCATCAATTAAAAAATATCTCATTCGCTTTGAGGGTTGTCCACATACTTTTGGTCATATAGGTAGGTGTGATGGTCACGTGCCCACAACATTTTGACCATATAGTGTACATGTCAATATTAACTGATTATGTATATCAGCGGCATGTTTGGAAGGTTTAGTGGCCTTTAAATGACCAGAAACCTGC